GAGGGAAAAAAGGGGGAGAGGGGGCACAAAAAAAAAAAAAAAAAAAAAAAAAAAAAAAAAGTGGAAAAGGGAAATTCCTGATGGAAAAAGAGCAGGAAATTTTTCCAGACTTTTCCAAATCCTGGAATTTTCCTGGAGATTTTCCCAGATTTTTTCAATTCCTGGAACTTTCCTGGACTCCTCCAAATCCTGAAGTTTTTTCCACATTTTTCCAAAAACCTGGAAATTTCCTGGAGCTTTTTCCCAGATTTCTTCAAATCCTGGAATTTTCTTCCCAGATTTTTCCCAAATCCTGGACATTTCCTGGAGCTTTTTCCCAGATTTCTTCAAATCCTGGAATTTTCTTCCCAGATTTTTCCCAAATCCTGGAGATTTTTCCCAGACTTCTCCAAATCCTGGAATTTTCCTGAAGTTTTTTTTCTTGATTTTCCCAAATCCTGGACATTTCCTGGAGCTTTTTCCCAGATTTCTTCAAATCCTGGAGTTTCTTCCCAGATTTCTCCAAATCCTGAAATTTTCCTGGAGCTTTTTCCTGGATTTCTCCAAATCCTGGAGGTTTTTTCCCTGATTTTTCCCAAATCCTGGAGCTTTTCCCCTGGTTTTTCCAAATCCAGCTTTTTTTGGGCTCTCCCTGCTGCTTCCAGGGAAATTCCAGAGCCTGGGAATTTCCTTTTCCTGCCTTTTCCAGATCCAGGAAAATCCACGATCCCCCAGGATGGGACCTGAATCCATGGATTTCCCCCAAAATCCTGGAATTCCCGTGGCAAAATTCCACTTCTCCAAATCCTGGAATTTTCCTGAAGTTTTTTTTCTTGATTTTCCCAAATCCTGGACATTTCCTGGAGCTTTTCCCCAGATTTCTTCAAATCCTGGAGTTTCTTCCCAGATTTCTCCAAATCCTGACATTTTCCTGGAGCTTTTTCCTGGATTTCTCCAAATCCTGGAACTTTCCTGGAGCTTTTTCCTGGATTTCTCCAAATCCTGGAGTTTTTTCCTCTGATTTTTCCCAAATCCTGGAGCTTTTCCCCCGGTTTTTCCAAATCCAGCTTTTTTTGGGCTCTCCCTGCTGCTTCCAGGGAAATTCCAGAGCCTGGGAATTTCCTTTTCCTGCCTTTTCCAGATCCAGGAAAATCCACGATCCCCCAGGATGGGACCTGAATCCATGGATTTCCCCCAAAATCCTGGAATTCCCGTGGCAAAATTCCACCCAAATTCCACAACCTGGCCTTGGACACTTCCAGAGACCCGGAAAAATCCCAATCCCAATAAAAACCCCAAGGAAAATCCAGGATTTCTCCACTTTATTCATCAATTTCCCGCATTCCCGGTGTTTCTGGGAATGTTTTTCCCAAATTTCATCCCCAATTTCCATTTCCTGGTTAAATATTTATGGAATTCCACGATTTCCCTAAAATCTGATTCAGCTCCTGGAAATCCAGGCTGGAAAAATACGGAAAAACAGCTGGAAAAATTCCCAGGAAAATCGGGATTCAAAGGAATCAGGAATTCCTGATTTTCCTCATTCCCATCCTGGAATTTTCCAGCAAATCCAGAGGGGAAAAAACCCAAAAATCAACAAAAAAATCCCAATCCAACAGGTCTCAGAGTAGAATTCCAGCTTTTCCAAAGGCATTTTTTTGGGAATTCCTCAAAAAAATCATCTGGATCAGGAATTCCCAAGCGTGGCTGGGGTGGGAATGGAAAAATCCAGAAAAAAATGGGAATTTTCTGAGGGGAAAAGAAGAAATTTGCAGCTCCCTCGGAGGAGTTTCACCCTTTGGAAGAGGAAGGAAAAATCTGGGAATTCTCAACATTCCCCCCTCTGCAGGATCAGAAAAATCCGGAATTCTGGGAATTCCTTGGAAACCTGAGATTCCCGTGGAAAATCCATTCCCATCAACTCCTTCCCAGGCTTTGCTGGAGGGAAAAATGGGAATTTTCAGGATTTAAACCACCCAAATCCTGATTTTTTTTTTTTTTTTGGGATCATTCCTTCGGGAAAAAGAGGATGAAGGGACAGCTGGAATCCTCTGGATTTATCCCAATTTTTCCCATTTTTTTTTAGAATTCA